ATTTGTATAACCGCAACTGCTGGCCCAAATTGTGTTAATATTAAATTCTATTCCTAAATCTAAATTTCTTTAAAATTTAATTTTACTTACTGCGAGTAAAGTATACTAAATATTTTTTAAATAAATTTTAATATCTAACAAAAATTCAGATATAAAAAAATAATTTTTATGCTAACAACCCCATTTTAACATATAAAAAATATATAACAAAAAAATTTGTTCTCATATTATATTCAATAATATTTTCTTTTATAAAATCTCAAATTTAAAATTAAAAATCAAAAATTGATATATATGTTCTTTTAACTTAACAATTGAAAAAAATTAACACTTACTAAGAAATTTTTACTAACATAACTCTCACAGAGGCTTCAATGGAAGAACAAAGTATATTATTAAATTCCCTGCTATATACATATATACAATACAAATTTGAACTCCCGACCCCAAATTATCTTCTTCTCCCGAAAAAAATAATTCTTACAAGAATCATTTTAGTCTTAAAAAACAAATTTTTGAAATTTATTATGGTCAAAAAATTACTAACTTAAGATGATTTTTCCCCTCAATGATTTTTATATTAACAAAATAAATTTAATTTTTAGTTATTCATTTATTCTTTAAAAGATTTAGATGATGATCTTTCTGTCTCATTTTTCGTAGGATCTTATGGGAAGCTTGTTGATTCGAGCTTAGAACTGGCCTAGATTATTAGACCTGCAATTTCCTGTAAATCAACAGAATCGATACAATCAATATAAAAGATAAGTTTCTATACGTGTCTGCTATCAGTGAGTCATATCCAAGTAGAGCGGTACAATCACACTGCTCATTTCACAGCTGAACGAACGCACTTTTTCCAAAGCCATTATCAAAAACCATCGTATAATTGTAAGGCGGGCGCCATAGCAACAAAAAGCAATGGTAACGAAATGGGTACCTGGAAATCAAGCGCGTCATTTTGATGATATGTTTTAGGACTCCCAAGATCATTCAGTCGCGAATGTTTATGACTAAACAGTTTTAAAACACTTTATAACAAGTAACGACACGTCTTAGTATATAAAAATCTTAGCAGCGACTTCCTCTCTGACGAGAGACTGAGATTATGACTGCTTGACTGCTTCAGTTTAATGCTTCCAAAACACAATTATGTACCTTGACAAACAAGAAGCGTCCTAGCGTTCATCCTTTTTCACAACTTCTACCAAATCGCCGTTCATTTCGGCTGGTCGGAGTCCAGATCACCGAGGACTTGATCTGGCACGAACACATCTCGTCAATAGCGGCAACTGCTTGGAAAAGTCTGGGCTATTTGTTTAGAACTAAAAAGTACTTGACTTCTCATGACCTCACTCTGTACAAGGCCCAGATGAGACCTAGCCTCGAGTATTGCTCACATGTTTGGGGTGCTGCCGTCCCGACTACATTATCTATGCTCGATGCCGTTCAGAAGAGGGCTGTCCGACTGATCGATGACTCTTCTCTTCTCAGAACTCTCCTTCATGATGCCGCCGCGCGATGTGCCTGCCAGACCGATCCGCCTGACTCCAGCTTCCGAGTCGAACTTCGTACAACCAGAACTGGCCTTTGTCCCTACGGTATCGAAATTGTGGAACAATGACATGAGGAAGCTTTTCCGAGTTCTACTAACCTTAGGTAGTTCAAAAATCGGAATAACAACGTTTCTTTAGGCTCCTCATAGCAGAAGTGGGGTATCGGTATTCAGGTTTCTGCCTGTGCGGCTGCTTCGGGGTAAAAAATATTAATTTATACTTCAGAAACTCAGAGCATCTTGTTCGAAAATTGGAGCAATGTGGTTAAAGAGCTATTGCATATCTATTTTTCATACCCCAAATTTTTGAACACGTCTCGAATTACCCGGTAATTTAGGTGCAACTTCAAAAACACAACACATTCAAATGTTCATATTTGACTATCTGTTCAGAAATAGTGAACATAATTTTGTTAAAATAGTTGGAGATACAGGAAATGTATGATGCATTGATAGGTAAAGATGAGCATACGCTCATTTGTTAATAATCACAAAAAGCACATAAACCCATTATTATGTTTTTATATGAGGATTTAAAAGGTGTATGTTTACTGTTATATTTAAAGCACCTGGTATGTTTCCATTAAAAAGCCTGTCTTTTTTGTCGCCTAAGAATATAATATATAATACTAAACGTGTTTTTTGTTATTTTTTTCTGATTTTATTCAAACAGTTAATAGTTAACACGTTGCTGAATAGTATCTGGACAGGTGATCTTGTATAGGTATTATTATGACATAATAATAAATTGGTTCGATAGAATTGTTCACTTTCGGTTAGGAAAAAAAATATTGTGGAGCGAAAATATTTAAAAACGGCAAGCATCTTAATTGTAATAATTGACTTTTCAATGTTAACCATAGTGAATTTTATAAAAAGGTGTTAAGTAGATCGACTGCATTTTCCCATGTGTGAAGAAAAACGAGTTTGAAATTACGGCTAGACATGAGTTTTTCACAGATTAAATAGTCATATAAACACGGATCTGGAAATGCTAAACGTGTCCGTCTTTATACCAGGGACAGCTGTTTCCTGCTTTTTAGGAACTCGTCAGTATGGTCTAGGCTTGGTCTTGGCTAGGACACCGAAAGAAAGCTGAGTAACTATCTTCTATCCGAGATATAAGCTCCATCGAAATAAGACGGCACAAAGCTCGATCTATCGCCAGAATAGATCTCCGCGAGAGTGAAACAGCAAGCTGTTTGTTTTTGTTGGACCTGTATCTAAGTTCGCATTTGACAGCCGGCACGGCACCGAACAGTTATCCATGATTAGCCGTTTGTAGCCGGATGGACGAAAACTAATTACTAATTTGTTCAATGGCCAGTAGACAGCATCTACTTTTTGTCTGGGCAGGGGAAAGCTTTTATAGCCACTCTCAGGCAGAAAAGATCGACAGATCGCCCTGTCGGACTTTCCTTCTCGAAGTGTGAGGTTCTCCAGAAACATCATACCAACTAAAACCCCTTAGTCGTTCGCTACATATCCCACCGCGGTAATGCTAGTAGCATTACGTCATGGTGGGTAGCGTTGCGTCAGGTTTCCATATCAAAGGGATTTAGTCATCTTATTCTCATCGCTGTACGTATACATAAGCACCTTCTCTACTGCTCTGCAAGTAGAAACCTATTCTTAGTTCCTCGGCCTGTTCTTATCATCCTGCACGTTTCTCAGCATCATCTATCTTACTGTTGATTGAATGTCATCCCATTTGCCCTCCTCTGCATTGCAATATACTCGTACGTAGTTCTCCCACCCTCTTCAGGTATCTGTCAAAACAACCATGTCCTGTTAGGAACTGTGCAGTTAAGTAATCTATATGCACCGCTCCCTTGTTAACCCAAGTTTTAATATCTGGGATCAGCTTTCTAGTCATTCCCCATGGCATTCCATTTCGCCTGCCATCTGACAAAAACGACTCTCTTTCGTCGCTTCCAGCTTCGGCGTCCTTTTTATAGAGCGCAGCCAACAAATTCATTGGCGAGATACCAGCCATCACCAGTAGTGCATTGTTTGACGCCGTTCTGAGCATTAAATGTTTATATATATTTTTACTCAAAGCCTTGTTATAGTTTAGAGCTCCGTACAACATAATAGAGGTTGACACGGCTGCCAAAATTCTGCGCCTCTCTCTACTGGACTCCATGAGATAGCATTAGCAGTATTAGAGATGCAATGGTTTTATTTATCTTGTCAGTGGTGCGCCTTATACAGGGTGGGCCACGCAAGCGGCTAAATCGTTACAATTAGAAAAGATCTCACACAAGATTTGTCTGAAATTACGTGCTCTCCAACATAATATTATTTTTAATTATACATGATGTTCCGTGAAGGCTAGGCGTAACACAACTTTGTTATTTTAAATGTATATTATTGAATTTTTAGATTATACTGTTCATTTTAGGACAAGTTTGTTGAGTGCGTTTATTTCGAATTTTCGTCGTTTAACAGTAGATTTGAAAAATCCAGATACCCCTGAAGTTGTTCAATATACACCGTCCTGGTTTTCAGCTTGAAACGCACTATTGAAGGCATTGCTTTATATTACCACAACATATCACTCTCAGCTGTCAATTTGACAGGTATTTAAATGCGCATATCATATTTTACGATACGATTAAGTGGCCCACCCTGTATGTTCATTCATTCAATACTCTAGTATACCTCCAAAATCGATGGCATCTAGCGACCACAGTGGTGACCCGAATGTCAAATGCGAACTGCGACACAGTTCCAACAGACTGCTTGTCTTACATATCTCGAAATGAGATAGAGATATTGTAGTTTATTAACAAAGGTCATATTGACTTAGAAAATGTTTTCTAAAGCACTTCAGTAGCGTTCATGCCATATACCATGTTTAGCGGAGAAAACAGTGCGCTATTGGCTTTAGCTAAAAATGGGTTTCAGTATTTCAAAACCATATTGATTCTACTTCAAAACTGTATGTTAGGGTTTTTAGTTTAAAGCACCATTTTCCGAGTACAAATTATTATATTTACGAGTACTCCAGTTTGTTTATCATGATTAAATAGTAGTAGTCGAAGTGGCACTTTTTTAAATCTCGGAGACACAAAATCAATGTGTCTTTTATAGATTTGAAGTAGAAAATGCTGCGACCATGCGCTCATATAAAAAACTAAGTTAAATATATGAGTGTGAAATTTGAAAAGCAAATGTCGAAACTGTGAACTTTGATGTTTTAAAGAACAATCAAGTATTAAAATAAAAAGAAAATATTGATGACAGCATAAAATACCTATGTTCCAAAACATTTGGATCCAAAAATTTAATAGATGCGATCAAATTGAAATTTGAGTTCAACCCCGCTTACAGAACGTTAACAAAATTGTATTTGTTCAACGATCACTCTCTGTACCTTGTCTAAATTATTGTGTGAATGTTTATTCTTTCAATGAACGATATTTTATAAAAAATGACTCACCACTATAAGTTTCATATTTTCTTTCACTTCATGTCATCATCATAGCAAAACCTAACACACCTAATAATTGAACATTTTCATTTCAACGAGTTCTTATCTTATCACCGTGATACCAACTGTGTCATTTTTATCAGATTTAATCAACGGTTTTCGCCTTCATACAGACATATTTGCACTACATCTCTGAAATACGAAGATTACGCTTTGGCTTTGCTCTGAACTATATAAAACTGAGGGATTGGCGCTCAAGTCTGGTGACTCAGTGGTCAGCTCTGATGGAAACAAAACAATGAAAATACTTAAAATGTTGTTCATGTGTGGGGAACAATGTGAGACCCTATAAGGAAGGAATTGTGTAACAAAATGCATGTTCAGAGTATGATTGAACTTGTGCGTGTGTAGATAGTAAACGTAAAGCGTAATGGATATCATTCACTTTGGTTGATTGGATGTTTAATTCAAGAAGGTTAATCTAAACTTTATGCATTTGGTATAAGGAATAGTATTTACGGAGGGCGGGCAGTTCGGGATCTCAAATAGCATGAAGTCTTCATTATCTAAGTAAAAGTTTGGAAATTGTACAGGTTAGATAAGATGATAGGTTCGCCTTTGAACTTTTGATCAAAGTGGTATAGTCATCATACTAAAAATATGGCTTCAAGTAGGTTGACTCTGCATTCCCCATGCAACGATGTCATCAGTTCGAAAAGGATTGTTATTATATCAAAAAGTTAACTACGAACATGTATAACACAAAAAAAAAATTAAATAGATCAAGTGAGCCAAACAGTCCCATACAATTAGTCGTTAGTCCAATGACATCGTTGCGATCTACTGACTTCTTCCCTGCCCTTACTGAAAGTATCGACCATCTGACGATGTCAGCCATGCTCGAGCAGTGTGGCGGGGTGAGAGATTAGGCGGCAGCATTTTGGGGGTACTGGACTAGGTTCGTAGTGTACGGCAACTGCAACCTAGATTCGATACGTCCGTTTGATATTTCTCCAAGTTTTAATAGAAAATGTTCAGGGACATATGTCTGTCTGTATGACACACAAACATATGTATTAATAGGTGCGGGATTGGAAACGTATGAATATACTGCCAACATAAAATTGAGATATACTCCAACTCCAACCCGAATTTTTAACCCCTACAAAAATCTTTCCGAAAATGATCAGCAGCCTCTGAAATGATAAAAAATTAAGCTAGAGCGATTTTTATTTTCTTCTTGTTTTTGGTTCAAGATCCGCCACTGCTTAACCGATTTTCAAAAACTTGGCATCCCTGTGTGAATATTTCATCCAAATCCGAGCAGTGCTTTCCAGGTTATAGACGCGTCAAGGATTTGCGGATAGACCAACAGGCAGACCGACTGAAATGAGTGACATGGTGCCTCCAAAGTGAGTGAAAAATTCCCGTTGCTCGAATTGGTTCAACAATGAATCCAAAGATCTAGTCTGTCGAAAAAAGATTACCCATAAGATTTTTATGGAAAAAAATCAATATGATTCTTATTTGTCTTTCTCAGTATTGTGTTCTCTATGTCAAGGAGATTATAAGCGATGTTATACGATTCACATTGATCGAGTTGAGGAATCTTTTGTAACCGATCCACGGCGCTTTTGGGAAAATGTAGTTTAAGAAATTCAAGCAGCTTACCTAATAAGAAGCACTTAGATTGAGTTAGAGCGCAGGTTGGGACGGCAATGAGTTGTTTCCAAAACACCTCACTGGTGTATATGATGGTTCTGTGTATCCTGTACCGTTTTTAAAGTCCGGAGGCGTTGAAGATATTAGCAATATTATAGAAGTGTATGTACCCAGTCATCACTTCCGAAACTTTTTGATAGTTTGATATATGATCAACTTAACTGGTCTTGTCGTGGGTTTCTAAGTAGCTGTCAATTTGGGCTTATTAAGGGCAGACCAACTGTGGAAAAGTTGGTCTCTTATAAAGTGGATCTGTTGGAGGCCTTGGAACACGGTCACCAAGTGCATGCAATCTACAGGGACATTTACAAGGCCCTTGACAGAGTGAACTTGGACATCATATTCGCAAAGCTGTCAGCATAAGGTTTTTCAGAAATCACTGTACAGTGGTTAGAGAGCTTCCTTAAGGGACTAATCTTTAAAAATCAGTAGGCTTCTGTCTTCAACTGCAAGGTTACAACAGGGGTTCCTCAGAGATCCCATTATGCTTATCTTTTCTTCATTTTGTTTGTGAATGGGATCCTTGATGTTCTAATTCATTCTAAACGAACTATGTTTGCTGATGAACTGAACATTAACAGGACAATGATTACGGAGAGGGATGTTATGGTGTGCCTTTGGCGGGACTTTGATGCGATGTGGCAGTGACCACAGCTTAACTGTATTTAGTATTTGGTAAATGCTTTTTCATAAATTTCTACAAAAGTAGGAGTAGAATTACGACTGACTATAAAATGAATAATCATAACCTCTCTTATAAGGCTACCGTTCTTGGATTTGTTTTTGATGAAAAGCATAATTGTTTAGACAATGTTCTTAAGCTTAGAATAAAGGGCATGCAGATGCTGGGCTTTGTTTGGGGAAATTGTAAGTGTTTTTCATTCAATACATCGAATTTTATACTGCTCTAGAATTTGCCACAGTAGTGTCTCCTCAGTACGAGTCTTATAAAGATGATTTAGAGCGCGTCCAGCATACATTTTTACGTCTTGCAGCATTAAAGATGAACTTAAGCATGACTGAATATCATAGAGCTGACATGTTAGGCGATTGGTATTTTATGGCTGTTTCGCTTTCAAGATTTTATTGGGGCTGATCGATTGCGAAACGTTGTTAGCATTGATAAATCTTAATGTACCTTGTAGAACATTGCGTAATAGTAATCTGTTTCCGATTGAGTTCTATCCGACAAATTATGGTCATAATCCCCACTAGATAGAGCATTTCGGGTTATCAATATGGTTCAGTCTGATACTGACATCTTTACCTGTACACTCTCAGGCTTTCAAAAGTTTTTTTTAAATTGTGAATTTATATAATAATGTTCTTGTGAGCTGGTTTAAATGTTATTCCCGCATATTCTATGTTATTTTATTTTGTAAAAATGGAGTCACCCGTAATTTTAGTAAATAAATAAATACATGTCGTATAACATCTAACATATCTTATTTTCGAAATTTTTCGTCGCAGTAGGCATGGCAAGTAATATCAGAAAATTTGACCGGGATATATTTTCCATCAAAAACTGTAATGATTTTATACCATCAAAAGATGTGTAAAATGTGTGCCTTAAAACCGGCAGACATCCAGTAGGTGAGTGAATTCGGCATTATACGTCATAATCAATGGCCCAAAAAATCATAAAATTATGTTGGTATCTGTAGTAAGCTCATAACTTTTTCGAATTTGTTGAGGTTGAACATCCTGTAACTCGAAAATTGGTATTAGTCTAATCATATTAGCAAATTTCTAAAAAATAATTGTCAAGTCTGGTTTTATTGGTTGAAGTCATTCAAGGGGGTATTTAAAACATGGACGCATAAAATGGGTACACCAATTTTTGTGGAAAAACTTCTTATTTGACAACAAAGAATGAGAAAACGTGTTTTTTGGGATTCAATCGAAAGTGTTGACAGGAACGAAAAAAATTTTCTTTAGGTATTTATGAGGCCTACTAAATGAGACCACACGTAAAGAGATCCGACTAATAGCAAAAATGTTATGGCCGAAAAACGAGGCAAAATGCAGGTTTTGGCACTTGTTGGTAATGCGACGATAGTTTCACGCAACTACTTGAAATTCGTCAAATCCGTAGGATTCACACTAGTAATAACAACAAAATTGTATTATATTTGTCAAGTAGTTTTTTAAGAATGTCTAGTTGCTTATCCTAAAATAGCTGTTTTCCGGCTTCATTCAAAGAGCATTTAATAGCAAAATACATGTGTTTACCTTGCTGATATGAATCGCGAAACATTCTGAAAGATAAATTTTATTTTTATGCGAGAAACAGAGGTTACGTTTTTTTCTTCTAAACAAATTCAAACACTTCGTATTTGTGAGTAATTGAACAAGTGCGCTTCAATATTCGAAAAACATACATTACTATACACATTTTAAAACAAAGCGAATGTGTCTACCATCTTTTGTTGCGAATTACTCACAAATACTAAATGTTTGAATTTGTTTAGAAGAAAAAACGTAACCCATCCTTTTTTGCATAAAAATAACATGTATCTTCCAGAATGGTTTGCGATTCATATCGGCAAGATATACTAGTGTATTTTGCTATAAAATTCCCTTTGAACTAATCCTATATATTACTCAATAAACTAGTAGCGATGACAGGAATACAGGTGTTTTGAGATAAAAACTACTTGACCAATCTACTCCAATTTTGTTGTGGTTATTTAGAAGTACGAATCCTACGAATTTGAAGAACTTCAAATATCTGCGAGGAACCATCGTCGCACCAAGTGCCAAAGCCTGCATTTTACCTCGATTTTTAGCCATAACTTTTTGACTATTAACCGGATCTTTTTGCGTGTAGTCTCATTTTGTAGGTCTCATAAGTACCTAAAAATCTTATATGAAGAGTTTTTTCGTTCCTATCAACACTTCCGATTAAATCCCAGAAAACACGTTTTCTCATTATTTGTTGTCGAATAAAAAGATTTCCCACAAAAATTGAACAACTTGCAGCAATAAAACCAGACTTTACAATTATTTCGCAAACCAGAGGTATTTTCGGCTAATATGTTTAGACTAATTAGGATCATAGTGTGGATGGAGACTTTCGATCAGATTGTTATGGAGAACAACATATTAAGATTTCAACCAATTTAACCGGGAATCATTTGCCATAAGGTGTATGCCAATTCCTTTCACGTTTCAACTATGGAGGGCGAGCTGAATAGGATCTGTTCGTTTTGCGTCTATGCGACCATAACCAACAATATATAACGTTGTTTCATGGTTTTTAGCAACCATCGATACGGTATAGGTCACCTGTATGTTTTTGGGGGTAAATTTGGTCACTTCTCGTTCATACGAGTAGAAAAAAATGGCGCCAAGTAGGTTGACTCTGCGCTTCCTACGCAACGCTGTCATCAGTTCATAAAGGACGATTATTATAAGAAAAAAAAATTAACACAAAAAAAGAATTATCAATTATATTTTCAATTACATCAAGCGAGCCAAGCAGACCTATACAATTAGTCTCTAGTTCCGCTCATTTGATAACGCTGCGATCTAGAAGCTCTTCCTTGCCATTACTGAAAGTATCGACCATCTGGCATCGTCACTTATCTTATGCTGACCAGCTTGATCAGTGTGGCGGTGAGAGATTAGGCGGTAGTGGCAGACAGGATTTTGTGAGTACCGGGATAATTGAATTTTTTATTTGAGGCAATTCTTGTTATGTAAATTCAAATTCAAATTGTTGCATGTGCGAACTATTATAGACACGACTTGCCGGTTTTAAAAGCGAATGTACGGTGAAATACATGTTATACTACCGACAAAATTGAGATATACTCTCTCCCACCTCTTAAAACCCTAGCCTCCAATTTTTAGCCGTTACAAAATAGTTTCCGAAAATAATCAGGAGCCTCTGAAACGTCAAAAACGAAGTTTGTGCGATTTTTATTTTTTGCCCGTATCTCCGCCGCCACTGGACCGATTTTTAAAATCATCCAAATCCGAGCAGTACTTTCCAAGTTTCAGACGGGCTAAGGATTTGCGGACAGACCGACAGACTTACCGACGGAAATGATTAACTTTTTTTTTCGTGATGTACATGTCATATAACCTCTAAAAACATATCTTATTTTCGAAGTTTTGCGAGATTACAATACCTTCTTAGTAAAAGTGAAAACACCCAGTATCCCGACGAAGTGGAAGTGTCTGAAAATACTTCATTTCAGTAATTATAGGAATTTTGATAAAATTTGAGGATCGATATGCTCTGGGGCGATAATCGCCTGTGTTATGTTTGAAAAACAGTGTAGTTGAGCCGGAGTTATGTACAAAAGTCATATAACAGAATATTTGTTTTGTAGATTTTTTGCTATTGATTCTAAATAATGTATGTCAACCATGATAGATACGTGTACTTTTTTCTGTAATATCTTTTTCTCTTCTCGTAACAGCTGGTGTATACTTATAGGCAAATATGCTGTTATCATTGATAACCAGACGCAAAAAATCAACTTTTTTGTCGACTCTTCCACATTTAGATAAGATAAGAGATCATACCAGTCAACGATTCTTTAACGATCAGAAAACAGTATGACCATACTCTATGAACGCGAAGACGTTTGAAATATTGAGTCAACCTACTTGACTCCGTTTTTGCTTTTGATAAAATTGAATTGAGAAAATTGAAAATGTCATTTTGGTTCCAGGATACGATGGTTCAAAAAGAAAGACTCCTCGACAATTTAACCGCTTCCCTGCCAGTTTTACCACAAGACTTGAAAATCGAACCAGTAGAATTACCTTCCAGTATTAAAGTAGATGAACCGTGTGTACCTCCGAAATCACCGAAACCAGAGCTGACGATTGAAGCGATACCAGAAAAAAGATCTCCTGTATCAATACCAGACAATAAAGTACCAGAGCCGTTTATACGAGTCAACCCAACGGTGAGTACTACTCTACTAATTTTGTTTCAACAGTTTTTGACTCAAAGTTATCCAGCAGTATCTTTTGTAATAATGATACAGATTTTTAAACTCATTTGCTAATAAAACTGGACTAAATTATTTTTGATTCAAATAGGAAAAATAAATCACGCAGAGTGGTTGGTAATGAATGGAGGTTTGCATAAGCTGGAGTATACTTTTTTATTAATTTGTTGTAGTATTTTGTGCTTTATGCCAATTTTGATTATTAGAGTAATAAAGTTAGTACATTGTTTGCTTAAAAATCATCACTCTACCAGTCCACGCTGTCTTTCTATACATTATTTTGGGATGTTCATCAATGCAAACTACTCATTTTTACCGTCATTCTACCATAACTTTTATAAAAAATGGTGGAGCGGTATAGTATGATTATACAGGGTGCGGCAGAGAGGACGGACGTTTTTGGGATTGGTAGAACTCTCCGCCTCCGTCTACGAGAGAGGTGGGGAGGATGCCGTTTGACTCGTGAGATCCGTGAAGCCCACTTTCACCTAAACAGCATGGTTAACCAGCAGAATTGTCGTTATTGGGCTAATGAAACTCCGCAACAGTTACACGAAAGACCGCTGCACAGCCCAAAAGTATCGCAAACTTGCATCATTGGCTCTTCCTTCTTCGAAGGCGATAATGGTCGTGATGTTACCGTGAACTCAGAGCACTACGTCGACATGATCACCAACTTCTTTCTCCCTGAATTACGACGGCGACGTGTTCCAATCCGACGTGTGTGGTTCCAGCAGGATGGGGCGATCGCCCACACAGCCCGAGCATCCATGGACGTTATTCGCCCTCTCTTCCCTGGTCGCCTTATTTCCAGGTTTGGCGATGTTCCAAGCACGCCTCCAGCACTGCATCAACGATTTCGGCCACCACATGCCTGATGTGATTTTCCACACTTGACTGTCTCAAATGCTATTTCCTTGTGAACCTGATTCCATCAATAAATTTGTTTTCGAGTAAAAATTGTCTCAGGATCCCAATGATCTACCCAGGTCTCGTCGCCCGTCTCAATTATTGCCAAAATTGTTGTTCAAAGTTTCCAAATGACCTTCCGAAATTTCCAACTAGCGCATTTTTTGTTTGGGTGTCAACAGACGTGGAACCTACCTGACTGACACCTCATTCATGTTCAAATTGTCGAACAAGATGGTTATTACGTTGGGTTCCGATATATTCAATGCCATACTAATGGTAAGACCTTCACACGACGATCTTCGAGAACCATGGCTTCGACTTTTTGAGAAATTTCATCATTTGTTTCTGTTTTGGGTCTTCCACTTCTGGGATCGTCTTCTATGTATTCACACCCCCATCGAAACTATTTCGACCAAAATTTGATTATCGAATAAGATGGTTCATTATCCCCATCCATAGACGGCAACCATTCTCTCAAGAATTGTTTTCGACGGATGGTCTTCTTTTGTCAGAAACTTTGTGACACTGCCATACATTTTTCCTCACAATTCACTTTATATATTGGAAACTGGTTATCAAAATTCTCATATTTTGCAAGTAAGGTTATTTGACATAAATTGTGCTTAACGCCTTTCAATTGTTTTTTTTTTCATGGCAAGGTAGTTTTCTTTTCTAGCGTCCCTCGTACTATATTTTTGACGCATTCATTGAATATAATGTATAATAATTCTTTCTTATTATTTTTCCCTCTCTAGATATATCCTCCGGAAAACCTCCAGAACACCGTAGGTCCTCCGCCACTGGCCCAGCTCAGGCTTCCAGATTATGTACCAAGACCAGAAGTAGTAAAAGTCCAAGCTGATCCAGATGAACAACCTGCCGATTTATCCAATAAAAGGCCGGAGAATCTTACATGTATGCCAGAGATCGATTTTATAATAGATGAGGACACTGCTTCCGTATACAGCAATAGCTCGGATCCAGATAGACTCGAAGTTGATATGTCGCAGGTAAGTAAATGGTGTTTTAGGTACTTCCGCATTTAAATTTGGTGCAACTTCTGAACGACTTGAGTTAAACCATTTATATCGGGCATATGTCATCTGGAGACCTGGGAATTTAATTATGTATTGTTTTACAAGGGAGGGACGCAACGGTACTAGGACAGTGCACTCATTTTTTCTTGATTACGATGGAGGAGCGGTAAATATTCACAGCGAACTTTACTACAAATATGGAGTTTTCATGGCTCTGACTGGATGACATGCGCTTCAACAATAGAGAGTTTTTAATACTCTTATTTTGCTGCTGTCAAACTTAGATGGGAAAAAAGGCAGATTTGATAGAACCGTAACCTATTTTTCACCTATTGATGTAAACGGGTGATCTATTCATAACCTTAGATATGACGGACATGACCCCAGGCCTAACCAGCGCTATCTACCTCCAGCTTTCTAGATTACCCCCCAGTGTGTGAAAAGGTTATGGTTTTCTGTAGCAGTGGATCCTTCAGAGAATATTATTTACAAAACATAATGAGAGGTGATATCTCGTGAACCGTGGCCTTTTACAGCACAAGCGTAGGGCGGTTGTATCAATATAATCAAAATCCAGGTATTTCTGAAAACGTACGACTAGATTACCAGTCAGCCAAATTAGATAAGATAATCAAAAACCACATTCTGATAAATATAAACAAGAAATATAGTTTTCAAAATTGTTAGTTTTATTTAAAAACAAAATCCAGAAGTACCTATTTCGGCGCTCCCCTTGTATAATGACTTAACTCACTGTTTCGTTAACTTGAGATATTGATAGATTTGGCATGACATAATCCCGACTCACAAAATGGCAAATCTCTGCTTCCACTACAAGACCCATGAATATAGCAGAGCTCATGTTGCAGTGAAAATACCCAGTATCAGGTTAGCAGCGTTGGTTGGCTCACCATTTAAGATAAATTTCTTATTAGAAAAATAATATTTGTTACTGTTCTTAATAGTTCATACACATGATATTCCCATGTCATTTGCGTATCAAGATGGATATCAACAAATTTGGCATTCCTATTACTACCAGTTATTTGAGTACTGCTTGTTCTTGTTTAAAAGTTTTATTTTAATACCATTTAAATTTATAAATTTGCCAAACACCACAATCTAACGTTTCCTCGTTGTTGCTATGTTATCCAATTGAGTCATTCAGGATAAATTTTGAATGAGGATCACAGTTCTCAATGACATTTATGTAAATTAAAGATAAAGTGGGTACTCTTGTAGAGCCCTGAGGAACACAATAACGCATGGAGTATAGCACAGACGATTTTCTATTCAAGAACACACGATGTTGTGTGTCTGTAAGATATGATATAATCAGCGTGTTGCTTGTGCTGAATCTAATTGTTTCTAATTTGTTGAGATGCAGTCAAACGCTTATTTGGAGAAATCATAAAGGCTACATGATAAACATCGGGGGTATTATCAAAAATATATCACTTGATATATATGAATTGTATTTTATTTTGTTCGCTACGCAGCTAGCGTCTAACAATGATGCGTATCTCATTATATTAATAAGTAAAAAACAAAAAAAATATGAATATGCTGAAGTGAGAATCATATGAAATATAGGTTGGCTGAACCAGATGAAAAAAATGCAAGGCTCACTTGAATACACTATAATCACTTTCAATCCAAATTTAAAACTTTGGAAGCACCTCCTCAAAAGTTGCAGTTTTTAAGATACAATAGGAGCGACGATTTGAACATCCTGAACTTTTTGCATCCAACTATCAAAATTTTCATTCGCGATCTTCGATGAACCTTTTCGGAACATAATGGTCATTTTTCTAGGCGACTGAAGATCCGGATCATAGCAACTCCTCAACAAGCACGGAACCATCGCCAACTTCACAGCAAATCCACCAGCAGAATCTCAACAACGGCAAGACTGAGATGGACGCGTCTCTTTGGCAAGCAATTTCTCAGAACGGTTACCATCCCAACACGCCGCTTTCAGGCGAGGCCAGTCAACTCCTCAGGAAACTCATCACATGCAGGAAGTTCGGGATGAGTATTACGCCGACTCCAACTACTACAGGTGAGGTTTTTTTCATCAATTCCAAAAATTAGAGTACAATTGACATTGAAAATGTCAAGATGGCCGCTGGGCGCCATCTTGGAAAAAAGATTATATGAAAACGGGGGTCTTGTGGCACATCATTTTGAAGCTGCTGACGAGTACTTTATAATCCTAGAATGTAAAGTCAATACCTTTACCTACGACAAAATGGTGGAACATTTAATAATTACTTGAACACAAACCCACTAACATGCATATCTCTACAAATAATTGTAATTCCCTGCCGTATCCTCAGCAACAGAGATAAAAACTTGTTTTGTTATTTTTTGTTGACAGTGACAAGAATATCAGTACGAAAACAAACAGCATTGTACAGTTAAAATATTCTTATTTAGTTTTCGGTTTTAGTGCTAGATACTGTTTGAACTATTTTTAAAATGGTCAATTTTCGTCCATTGGAAGAAAAAGCGAAGTGATTTTTATTTATGGTGCGACGCGTAACTTTCACGGGACCGAAAGGATTTTTAATGATCGTTTCCCGAATCGTCTTAACTGTAGAAAATATTAAGGGAACTTGTATCAAAATTTTCAGCTACTGGTAGTGTGAACAACAGTCTACTTTCTCCATCGCGAATGTATGTGAGGTTTGTCCTTCTACTGTATGGAGACTTTCGAAAAAGAATAAGTATCACCCATACAAAATTCAAATGGTACATCAACTAACTGAAGATGACCCTGATCGAAGAACAGAATTCTGCGAGACTATGATGGAAACCATTGCACGGCATCCTACACCTATACCCAAAACATTTGTTTTAGTGATGAATGTACATGTACAACTGTAATGTGCATAGACAAAATTGGCGTTATTGGATCACACCAATCCCCACGTCTTCAATATCCACAAAAAATTAAAGTTTGGGCTGGGATATTGGGAAATCATATTTTGGGGCCTCTATTCATCGAACAATCTGTAACCGGGGAACGGTATTTGGATATGCTGGAAAATACTATTGACCCCCTAATCACCGACATCGTCGAAGCGAATCCTAATGAATTCAATACTGATATTGTATTCCAGCAAGATGGTGCTCCACCACACTACTACAGACAAGTTAGGAATTATTTAGATAACAATTTCCCCGTTCGTTGGATTGGCCGTCGAGGTCTTGTGGAATGGCCAGCTTGCTCGCCAGATTCGACACCTGTAAACTTTTTTTATGGGACTATCTGAAGCAAAAGCTGTGTACGAAACTGAACCTGCTTCAATATTGGATATACGGCTGAAAATAACAAAATTTGTAGAAATATCGATGTTACTATGTTTGAAAATGTTCGACGCGAAATTACGGACCGGCTGTTATTGTGTCATGAAGCTCAAGGCAACCATTTCCAGGATCTTCTAAACTGAACTCAACGTATTTATTCGAATTATCAAGTTAAATGTCAATGTATTAAATGTACCACCATTTGTAGAAGGTAAAGGTATTGACTTTATATTCTAGGGTTATAAAGTACTTCAGGAGCTTCAAAATTCATATAATATTTTTTTCCATGGCGCCCAGCGGCTATCTTGACATTTTCATCTGTCAATGTTACTCTAAAATATGGTATCCACGTATCAATTTCATTACTTCAACTTTTAATTTTTTGAATTGATCGGTTGAAAAAATCAAAGGGGAGGGGGACATTAAAGAAAAGCACTATACAGGTATATTGCAATGATGCAAATGAATCTCCTAAAGCCAAGAATCTTAATATCACTTGCAGTTTTACACGAGCTGGCATAGCATCTCATCATTCGGGTGTTTGCCTTTTGAATTTTATTGGATATGTGTTTCAGTGAAAACTCAAATTTGTCTTGAAGCATTCTCAAATAATTCAAATAAGTTTCCTGGTCTTCAAGAGCTAACTCTTTTATTAAACTATTATATGCTCCCAACGAACCGCTACGTGATATCCATGGACGGCCCCACCACCTGTGTTTTCGTTTCTTTCTTTGCAATTTCTTGTATTTCTAGTGCTACAATTTGCATTGTAATATTAATACTTGCACGCACTGTTGAATACCACTACACCAGTTTAAAATAATTGAACTATGTGGAAACCGATGCTGGCGCCAGTAGTGGTAGCGCTAGGAAACTGGCAACTTTGATTAATCTTCCATTATCAGAATGTTTTTGCTGTACCTAATCCGCATGTCGCCCTTCAAGATAAATAGAATATCCTGGGTCACAATTATTATTAAATAATTGAGATTGAGATAATAACGATACTGGGCCTCATCCTAACATGACGCATACTATGCTGGTCGACTACTTGCACGTCGGTTTGATGAGGATGAATCCATCGCAGAATTATAGTAAAATATCGAAGTAAACGCCACAGAAAATAGTGGGTCTACTTATAGATAACTTACATAATCTGACACCGAAACTATCCGGATGAAGCTGTATCAAACTTACTACATACTTACATTTTTAAAAATCACTAGCTTAACATTCACCTCACGACTCAGTATCACATTCAAAATAAGCTACACTCTTTTCGTAACCAAATTTTCTATATAAGGTATTTGACGCCAAGCCGCACCCAGGAACGAGACGTCATTTTTGGTACATCGTGAGATGGATAGTTGAAAACTATTGCTGCTACTATTTCATAGATGGCGCTAGTATCTTTCAGAACCAGTTTTCGACGCCGGAATACAGTATGTGATTGGCTATCGTCAGGTAGAATACGTTATGAATGGTAATAGTGGTAATTTTTGAAGTTTCAATATTCTAGTTGTAAGATTTATAATCGAAATTTTTTTCAGTATTGAACTATTCAATGTATCCGGGTCAACCACCAAACACCGAAATAGATAAACCGGATGACAGACCAGCCATCGAGAAGACATCTGCCAGAAGGAAGCAGAGCTATCCGACCAAGGCCAGCATAAAAACTGAGGAGGGAATTGTAGGAGGGGGTATTGGAGGACCAGTGACAGGATTAGGGGAAACTCCGAAGGAAGAAGCGGATGATTATATACCGGATTTTACAGGGAACAGTCCGTGGTGCAATTTGGTCAAGGGAAAGGTTTGTGATAATTTTTTTAATTCGAATTTCTTTTTGTGCGCTAAGAGCGCAAAATATTAGTTTGCCGCTCGCTCAAGGCGTATCATAACGACAAAGTTGTTTGCTCTCGAATTGCAATCAATGGACTCAGTCTTTAGCCGTAGCAACTATATCCATAATGACATATGCATGCTCAAAAACCTTAATACTCTAATTCTCGCACTATTTCCACAGGTTACCATAGTAACACGCGGCTGGGTACGAGACTATTTGTTAATCTCAATCGTTCCTTGGTAACGTCATTTTTGCTAGGCCATGAGCATTGAAATCTACAATGCACAATCAAAAAATACCTTTTAGTGTTGAAAAACTATAATGTCTTCACTGTGGCACACAATTATTTTATTCACGAAATAACACTGTATTCTCTTAATTTTTTAGTGTTGCCTGATGCTGTTCCACCACTTTTACATTTACTAGACTATTACAAAATTGTAACCTATCTGTTTTTGAAAACAATAGTGCATTTTAACTTAACCCCATGGTATCACTGGCGTGCTAATTTTAAATTACAGGGACTCAGGTATTCAAAAATGCAAATTTTGGCATTGAACCATGAGCGTTAAAATCTAATTTTGTGTGTTTGTATTTGCCAATATACGAACCGGCTGAATTGACTTATACGTCGACTGATACAAATCAGGAAGTAAATAACATTCAGAATTGTTGAATTGAGGAAAAACAATACGTAAATGAATATTCTCATTAATTGTATCAATCTAACGTCTTTTATGTTGATTACACGAAAAATTGCACTAAAAAGTTTGTCAGTCTTTTGATTGGAAAAAATGAATGGTCTATAACACCGAAATATCGGTATCGGTCGATTATCGGTATCGGCAAAAATCTAATATCGGTCGATCTCAAACTATAATCAGGTTTTCACGAAAATACTTGTGGAACTAGAAACCTTTTAGCCTAAACTTGAATTTCCATTTTGCAGGGTGGCGCAGGTCTAGCCAGACGAGTCGATCTAGCATGCACAAACTGTGGGACACAAACGACGACAATATGGCGGCGGAACATGCGCGGAGAGATGGTGTGCAACGCCTGTGGTCTCTACTTCAAACTCCACGGTGTCGATAGGCCAGTTACAATGAGGAGGGACACCATACACACTAGGCGTAGGAGACCTAAGGCTCAGGAGAAAGAGAAACTCAAAGGTAATTTTTGTTTTCAGCGGAATAGCATTTGTGAAGTACGCCATACCATAAATTTCAAATGTCTTGAAAGACCATAATGAGCATTGTCATTGATTATTATTGTACCTGAAGATTGCTAACCTACCCTAACCAAATAGTAGTTATATCAAGAGATTCCCATTGATCTTGGGAGTCATCTGCATTATAGTAGAGAAAGCGATCGTAAATCTTTGTTTTGACAAGTTTGCTGATTAGCATCAAAATACGAAACGGAAACTATTGTTAATAGGTAAGTGAATGAATAGAAATTCATGTTCTAATTTTCTTGATATTCAATGGCAGTGCTGCAAAGAATTTATGCCTTTTTTATATTTCAGGGAAATTTAAGAATCCCAGGTGTTTCAACAATGCTAAAACAATTCCCGTCGATTATGTATGCTTGGATGACTTCATCAATTTTTGAAGAATACTTAAAAAAGTGCAACGCTGAATTTGAGAAAAATCGTAAAATTTTGCTCTTGGTCGATAACTGCCCCACTCATCCAAATATTTCACTTAATAACATCAACCTTCAATTTTTTCCACCCAATGTGACATAAGTTCTGTAACCAATGGACCAGGGTGTCATTTGGAGTCTTAAACAAATGTATCGGAAACATATGTTGATGAAAATTATGGAGCTTCAAGAAGATGTCGACATTACCAAAGCTGTCACCATTTTAGATGCTATAAATTTGCTTACTATTGAATGGGAATTGGTTACTCCAGAAACGATTCGCAATTGTTTCCGCCATGCTGGTTTAGTGAAAAACATTACTGGTCAACGATTTTAATCCAGAAGATGAAATTCCATCAAGTGATTTACTGAAAATTAATAGTTTACTGAATATAGACAAATTTAATGAGTATGTAAATGTTAACAATTATTTTGATAGCCAACACAGGAACTGTCAGACTCCAATTTGGTTAATGAAGGATCCGTTGATAACGAACAGGAAGACGAACTAGAAAACAACGATGAAGAAGAGCTTCCAGTGACAACTAAGGAGGCATTAGACTGCGTGAAAAAGTTGCAACGTTATTTTCAGCAAGAAGACAGTACAGCCACACTTACCAAATTAAATAAAATCAACTTGCTGTTCTAAATAATTATACAAAAAAACAATCTGTTCAAATGAAAACTACTAGCTTTTTTACCAAATAATTTACGGTTTTTACACATACGTCTACACAGTACGTATGCTTGAAATATGTGTATCAGATTCTGAAAAAATGCAAATTTCAAAATTACGTATAACTTTTGTATGTATCTTTATTTATGTAATACATGTTAAGCAAACACATTTTAGCTTTTAATATGTTGTTTCTGCCACTTTTTTCATTAAAAAAAAAGTGTTGCTCTTAAGATGGCCATCCGCCTATAATAGACTATTTGTCACAGTCCCACCGAGTCCATTATAAGCGGGTTGCACTGAAAATTTCACATCAACATTGCCTGTTTTTCTCCTCTACAAGAAGGTATATTCAGAATTTCAATATCACGTTTCGTCTCTTGTCGTCCAGCATCAACTATATTTTTTCTCTCTCCGGAAGTACTTTGAATTTCGAAACTTTCTAAGCGGCATTTTGTTGATTACCTAATTACGCAACTTTGCCCCCATTTAAGCGTCTTCGAATATCTTTTATAGTTTGCGAGATCCCAGTGGTGAGGGTCGAATTTGATACATTCTGTGTATGAGCGTATTATAGCTACAAGACCATCTACAAAACACTAACTTCTTCACATTAGACTTGTAATTATTGTGAAGGGGGGAAATGTAGCCGTGATAAATTCTCATAGATGACGCTATGGTATCTCATTTCATCTGGGATACTTTTCGGACGCGCAAATTTAGTATTATTTAATCATTAGTAACTTATATCAGATATTTAAGTATCATTCATTTATGATGTTCTTGTCCTAGCATAGGCACCCTTTTCTATTTTTATACCTAATTTTAACATTGTTTTATTAAAGGTTTCATACAACTGAAAGTCATTTAACGATCTTCCAAAAGAATCACGCATATTACTTGGCCATCGAAAACAAATCATTAGAAACTCTGAAGACAGTGCAATCGACTATTTTGAGTGGCGGATCTGAAGTGTTTGGGGCAAAAATTTTATAGGGGTCCCCCCGATGGGCCGAGAATATGGCTGGACGGGCTACATGACATAAAAATGCATGTCCTAGTATGCGACTGGTGAAAGTTTAAGAGCGGAATGTGGAATTTCAGGAACGTCATCCTTAAAGGACAAACTCTCCACTTTGGGACTACCACTGGTGGGGTCCCTCCCCTCCCCGACGCACAGTTATCTTGGATCCCCTGGCTATGATTTCTTTCATATAGACATTGTTAAAAAGCATACGTATGTGATCTGCAATAAAAGAATGTTTGTTTTCTAGGTGGAAAAGAAAGAGGAAACACTTCAGAAACAGCTGACACAGAAGATATGTTGAGTGCTCTTAGGCGTCAAATTCGGCCACACCTGATCATGGCACTGACGGGACCTAAACATGCCAACTTGCCTCAGTATGCTCATTTGCAGGTACGGAATTCATTCCACGTTTTCCCATCAAATTAAAATAAGAAATGAAAACGAAAAATCTGCCAATTCTGGTTACTGAATTCGGGTAATAATGCATATTCTAGAAGCTTATGCAAACGAATATGCAGATTTCCGCGACAGCGTTGTTAAACATCGTGGCGATGAGCTTCGCTATCCAGGCGGCTTCTATATTTTTCTAACATGTGTGCCTATACACACTTCTCTGTCGTACATATTAAACTCAAGCCGTCAGAAAAATGTTGTTATATATATATAGTTAATAGTAATATAGCTCTCGTTCATCCCACCATAGACGGTCAACCATGGGCAACTGTTTCGTGCTATGTGGCAACTTATCAGCATGACCCAGGCTTGGTCTCGGGTAGGACAATGAACAGTAACTGATTAACTATCCTATATCCAGGATATAAGGTCTACCGAAACAAGACTGCAAAAAGCGCCATCTATTACCAGAATCAACCACTGCGATCGTGAAAACAACAAGGCATCTGTTGTCAAATGTGAAAGTTCCAACAAACAGCTTGTTCTTACCTTTTCTCGATAATACGAGTATATAGCATGTCTAACCCTGATACCATGATAATATGAAATTATAAGTGACACTCTTCACACAGTTTGCTTATGTGGTGCTACCACTGAAGAGGCGCATCAATATAAATTCCTAGAAATTTCGTGTTTGCTTGAACGAACGGCTTGCAATTGAGCTTGACAAAGTGGTTCAAATTGATTAAGGTGGAATGAGGAGTAAAATTTATGAAGACAATCTTTTTTGCGTTAAGTGATAGTTGATACCTAGACACATAGCATATGAATTATTATGCATTGTAACTTGTCAATGCATGACTTTATATTATTTTCACAACATAGGTGTGTCATCGTCAGCACTACTTCCGCGCGGGCGGAGCCGAGAGCTTAGGCTAGTGTTTTACCCTATAGTATGTTCTAATCAAATAGATCAATGGAAACTATTTTTCAAATAAAAAAAAATGGAATGTTGTTGAGCAAATGTTCTATATTTTTGTTAACTTTTTTCTTCCAGAATCCTCCAGTACCGACCGTCTTGCCAACCGGGGAATCCCCGAACAGATCAGTTCCCGAAGCTGAATCAGACGAAGAGAGCATAGCCGACCTTCCTCTAAACCTCGTCTCTACACAAATGACAGAAGCAGAATTGCGTTAGGACGATCAAGGGTACACGCACACATCCCACAATGTACGCGAGTCACATTAAATAGAAGGCACAAGTCAGCTCACTCCGCTGATAGTGTCAAAGTATACCAGTGATACCAACTTTACTTAAATAGGCGTAAGGTTTTCACGGTAACCTCGAAACCCTGAAATTTTGTATAATCTCTTCTGAATGCTCAGATGGAAGATGATGTGTCTAAAATACGTAAATTTTTTGTTCTTTTTAAAACATATTTCTTTATTTCATAGTTCTGTGCAGGTATAATAGCGAAGAAGGACTAAGGTATCCCATGTTTAAAAGGGTAAACAAATCAACGAATTTGGATTGTTATAGTATTGAGTAGTATTTATTTTGGAAGCAGGAAGGCCATCTGTTAGAAATGAAAAAAATAATATTAAAAATATTTCCATAAAATCACTTGTTCAGTCACATAAATGATATTATATTTTCCACAAAAATAGTTTGGTGTAATAGCAATATTTTGACTGCAAACAATATTTTTCTTAATGTCACTTTTTACTATGAACAAAAAGTAGCGAAACTTGTCTTCCAAAATTCAGACTTTCGCGTCAAAGCTGTGACGTAATTTATTTTAACCTTAAAATGCTTTTGCCATAGAGGCCAGTCTATACCCTATTTCACGAGTATCCATGTTGTTGTCGAACCATAAAAGGCGTGATCGGTAGATAATGTTGTTCAAAATTCGGTAAATTCATGTACAAAATCGGTAGAAGTAAAATACAGGCCCGTTGCAAAATCAGCAGTGGATCGAGAGCCTTTGCGTCACACAGCGCCGTCAATACAAAAGGATATTAATTTTTGTATTGCACATACATATTATACAATTCGGGTTTTTTCATAGCATCTTTTCCTGGAAAAATATTAAACTCTCGACGCACTTCAAACTCTTTGAAACCATCCTGGAAGCTGTTTTTCACATTCTTGTGTATAAGATTATGATTATTTAAGTTTTACCCTTGAACTTGAAACTTCATCACTCCTGATATTTTAGTTTAATATTTAACTAAAAACAGACGGGCCGGTGATGCGGTAATATGATCTAACGGTCTATACTTGTACGCACAAAAACCAATACACGGAAAGCGGAGTAAGAGATGTTAGACGTTAGCTTATTCTTTGCCTGGAAATAATGGTTATATTTTGAGCGTACACATTTGTGAATTGTGCCGAATCTGTTTAGGATCGATTCCTGATCGCTCCTAACGGCGCTCCATTTTAGGTGGAAATGAAAGGTCAGGATCGCAACAAGTTCTGCAGCATTGCACCATTGTTTCGTTTGACAACACCGCATTTTGTACATTCCAAGATAAGGGGTCCACCTCCATGATCATATACACTGAAGATAGGTTGTTGCGCGTGAGGGCGGAGCTTCGTGACGTCACCTTGAGAGTTGTCGGCTCATGGTTACTAGCGGCAGGATTGTCGTAACGTTACTACAACGCACGTGTATCGTGATTAATACTATTGAATATGCGAGTATATAATAATAGTCAACACGATTTGTTGGTGGTTTCCTGACTTGTTATATTAGCTATATATACTTTATATACCCTGTGTGGTTGATAAATTGATAAAAAAGCGGTGTGCTGTTGTGGCATGTAATTCCGACAACCAATCTAAACGGAATCCTTGCAAAGACATGTAGTTCTGCAGTTGTCCTCAAGACCCAAACCTCAGCAAAAGGCTACATCTGTACATTTTACATAAAGAAAAGCGCTAGGGTTTGCTCGAAGCACTTTTGTGAAAGTGTCTATAAGGTCAATTTGATACATACGCTTTTGGGTTACACCCCTAAAAGATATCGTTCTCTAAAAGATGATGCCATTCCCACTACATCTGTTGCTGGGGAAAATCGAAAAATGCTTACGAAAAAAGACAAAGGGCTCAACTTATCCCCTAGAGTTTAAGTATAGAATAAATTCATATATTTTGGGACGAAACGAAGGCGCATACTTAGGCCCGTATCGTCAGTCGTACCTACAATTGTAGGGCGCCTTTATGGCCTCCTTGATTGTCATAGTTTTCTACTTCTCCGTGTCAGCGCTCTATTTTGAGGTTATGTCGCAAACATCTATTTGCATCAAATTGTGCTTGCTTTTGAGTTATATCATGTTTTATCAGCCTGAAATTTCCTACAATTTAAAAAGAAAACATATCTTCACAATAGGAGAGCGCTGACGCTGACACGGGAAAAGTGTAATCTAGAAATTTCTGAAGGAGAGAAAGGAGTATGACAATCAAAGAGGCCATAAACGCGCCCTACAATTGTAGGGACGACTGACGATACAGGCCTTAGAAGTATTGCAGCGTAGAGTCAGAGGATACCCCAGACATTCCCCTAACCGCATCATTAACGAATAGACTGAATACACCTGATGTATCAGCTGACTATAACGAGGAAGTTTTAGTGGAAGAAATAGATGAGCTCGAGTATGACGGTCTGTAAAATTTAGCCGGCTTTGTTTGCCTTGGTTGGCAAAAAATGGAAGGATGAGAGGTTGAAAAGTTCCTCAAATGAAATTTATTCCTGGATAGACCATCTTAGTGAAGGTGGGTTATCAAAACCTTCTACAACTGTCATGAATCAAACTGAAAATCTGAAATAGGTGTTTACTACATTCAGTTGCGAAGAAATAGTGACAGAAAAGCAAAATTTGATAGGCGAACTTCTGTTGAAGATCAGCAACATTGACTGCTCTGAAAAAGCTAAAAAACTATTTTTCAGGTCAAGGATGTTCTTCTGGATCAAAGAACTGAAGAAAAGTTTGAAAGACCAGAAAAATCATAAAAGGAAATGGAAAAAAATTGTTGCTTAGACTAAGACATTTTCATTTATTGTTATACCGCCAGCTTACTGCAAAAAGAAAATGCGTACATTTTCACACTTGTACTTAGGATGTTCTGTGCAATAAGGATAACTGTAGTGCAGTATATTAACGTCATGATCATGTTAATCCTGCTCCGCAGAACATACTAAAATATAGGTAATGTAGAAAAATGGAGTTATCTTGTTTTTACAGTAAAGTGACGATACGCTCTATTGTGGAGCTAGAAAGCCGTTCTAGCTATAGCCGGTTGAAATCTTTTATTAAAATCCCCCATTTTATTTTGTATAAGATTTCAATGTATTCAATGTTACTCGCACTGCTAACATGAATCCAACGACACGTCATATGTGAAAGTCCGTCCAGCCGTTTGGCCTGTAGATGAAAATATGCACGTAATCCATATCAACCCAAATGAGAATCACTCTCAGCGTGACGCCATGCGCGCCGGCTGACAAAAATCCGACAGCGGAGCATCCGGCACGACCTTCGCAGACCATCTTTTTCTAACATGCACACTTATCGCGCTTCTCTCTCGTACACATTAAACTCGAGCTGTTTGGTTTGGTTTTCCCCTATATATGATTGGTATAGAACATCAAGGTACATAGACCACAACATAGAATTCATTTTTCCAGCTTTCTTTTACGGTAAAGAAACTGTAAATATCCGAATTATTTTAAAAAATCATGGAAAACGAGGACGTTTTTGATATTTCGGAAAATAAGCTCTCATTTCGGTAGAAATACCGAAAAATCGGTAAAGTCTTTAACACCAGTCAGTCTTCCATTGTATGTGAGGAAAAAATAAACTCTGTTCCTTGACATTGACAGTTTGACATGAAACATGCAGTTGGTTACGTTCTACCGGATTAAAAATAAAATTATTGGTTGATTGTTTTGGCGGAAAATACTGAGGATTCAAATTAGTTCTCTTGCAACCCACAACTTTGAGATAAGTTTTATCAACATATGAGCGAAAAAATGATGTAATCAATTTCATATATTAAAAATGCAATTTTGTCCACTATATGCCGAATCTTTCTGTATTTGAGGCTCAATTTTTACCATCTTTTTTTTTATTAAGGCCGTTAGATTTTTCTAAAACGTAATGACACAAAAGTTCCATCTGAGCACTCTTTTGGTAAACTGAGCTCTCTTGAATTAAGGGTATTCTTTTGTACTTACATGATGATAATACTCATTTGTCGGAGTTTTTATATATCTAAATATTCTTAATTCGATTTTTTTTTGTATTGCAATAATTTGTTAGTTTGATAGCAGATTGTGATATTTTCCAGATGCATTAATCCCAGTAATTTACCCAAGTGAAATAGAAAACATAACCAAACTTTTGCTTATGCCAGTAGTACCTTAATGTTAGTATTATTTTTTTACCCCGCCCTATCGAGTGGTCTTTTTATATATTTTTACTATTAATATTAACAATTTAGGTTTTTAGGAGATAATATTATATAATGATTTACTTTTGACAGTATTGGATAATAACTAGAACCATAAATAACCAAGGCTGCGGTTGCTATGGATGCACATTCTGACTAAATTTAGTTCCGTTGAGTAGGTCTGAAATCCTGCCGGGTTCAAGTTTATTTTCTTGAAGTCCTTTAGTGAAGTTACTGTTGTTAAATGGTGGAAAAACAGCGCATGTAAATCGTTTATATTTTAGTAGACATGGCAAAAGAGTGTTTGAAAGTTTATTATTGATCATTTTTTTCTCTCATACTTCTGTTGCACAAGGGTTATCAATTTATCGATGTCCATGGTGAAATAACCAATAAGTACCCCAAAAAGACACAGGTCGTACGATAAAATCAAATCTGAATGCTCAGGTGGGTCTGAAAAATTCCGTCAGAACTCGCATGCTTAGTAACCGTAGCCTAGGTATGTCAAGGTGGAAAATATTTATCTTGGTGATGGAAAATCTGGATCTTGCCTTAACAATCCGTGATAAAAAGACAAAATCTTGGAAAATTGGACTTTTAAATATTTCAAATTGAATCCTCAAATGCTTGATATTTTTACTATTAATTCAAGTTGATACTTCCACTTTGGTATCTGTGAAGGCGTGCAAAAAATTTCTTTTGTGAAAAAACCTCGTTTGTTCTACGACGTTGAAGTGTGTTTTACCTGGACTTTTGTGACTACAGGTCTGTTCTGTTCAACTATTTTCGACTCTTTTGGAATGCCGTAAATACAAAATGAAAAATCACTAATTCTACAGGAAAATACAAGTTGAAGTCATATTCTCCAGTGTCCTGATTCGTAAGAAACACTTGAAGGTTATTCTTTAGTAAAAAGATGTTTTTGTATGTCTGTATTTTGAAGTCTTTATATATAGTTACTTAATAACCAAGTAAACCCAGTGAAAACGCACAATGCATTAGAAAAATTATCTGGTACTGTGTAACCTTTAATACTCGTTATTGATATTTAATTCATTTATTTATTTCTATTTAAAATTGATCTACCTAGCTCTCTCAACGTCCTTCGAAAAACTATGACGAATCTTTTACAATAACATTTTAGTTATTTCTATTTATTGTACATATTAAGTTTCAACGCAGATGTATACCATAACCTTTTTTTATACATTTTTTATAATTTAGATGTAGTTGCAATTTTTTAAAGGTATGGATGCTTTACTTTTATGCAATGTTTGTTTAAGCATTTTTAAACGGTATGCTAGCTTGTAGAAAGTCACAATCAAACTGTACCCATGATAAAAATTAATGATGAGTGATAATTCCATTTCAGCAACTAAGTAATCAAGCACGATAACAACTTGACTACACTTTCATTTTGCTACCACCATTCGAACTTTGGCTATATAATAATATTTATTCACTCAATGTGCAAAGAAACCAACATAAGTAAACAAATATAACCAAAAACAGATCCAATAGGAGGCATTACCTGCGCATGGACTAATAATTTTAATTTGTAACTGTAGAATACAAATCACAAAAGTGCAAGAATTAGTCAGAGTGGATTATGTGTTTACTTGATGTTTTTATTTATGAGTCTATGATTCTCAGTCCGATTCTATAGAATGTAGCCACTTTTTCAAATTTATTTTGAGATAATTTCCGAAATGTAAATCTTTAGGTATAACTTCATGAAATTTTGGCGTTAAATAGAGATATGACCGCTGCATTCGAGATTTATGTGTCTGAGGAACTACTGTGTCACGAATTTTATACCTCGTATAATGATAATCTTTAATTTTTGTGCTGTATGTACTTCTATATACATGATGGGTAAATCGAGGCTAAAGCAAGAGCGTGAATGAAGCGTCCACAGAGTTGTCCTTGGAGTTGAGCTCTAATTTGTTTCTCTTCTCTCTCATGCACATTAAATACGGAACCTCAATGATTCCCTGCCGATCCTCTTATTTAGTTCCATTTGGCAAAAAACAAATGGAGCTCTGTAAGATTATGAGCTCGTTATACTCGAAGAAATTTTATAAGAATGGATAGCGCCTTATGATAAAAAAAATGGTTGTTCATACTGAATTCTGGAATGGATTATACACTTTTACCCCAACAACTAGCGACATTCGACCTTCGAGGTTTTTGTCGACAAAAAGATTACTGTGGTTAGCATAGCATAATACGGTGCCTGGTGTCCTATTTTTGATGCTATGGTATAATATTTTCGGCTACAAAAAAAAATCGAGGGACAAATGTCTTCCAGGTGTTTGGGGTATTTTGCATACACAATCTAATATAGAATGTATTTTGGGCATTACCAAGTTGTTACCTAGATATACAAATGGAAAGTCTGTATACTTACCCATATGTACTTAAGAATAATCAGTATTATATTTACTGAATGCTTAGCGGGAATCACGTTTTCTTTGTAGTGACAATCAATACTATACTGACTGTTTTGCTCTCATACGTGTAGCGGTAGAAATTCATACACGTCATATACCATGAACAACTTTTTATAAGCTAGCGTCTATACTACTAGTATTAACCGTGAGAGTGATATTTCTTATTTTAACATTAACTGTTAAGTCAAAGTAACTTATTAAAATCCAAAATCAGTATTTTATACACATTTTTGTACTACTTAAGCTAATTTAGATACGTTCGGCAGCTATGAAAGCTCGATTCTTCCCGCTTTATATATTTGCAATATCTTGGAAGTCCCAGCTGTGATCAGCAATTTTGAGAAGTTTTACGGGTGCATTAATTTTTTGAAAAACCAATATATTGTTAGATTTGTCCATCAGTTTTCCCTGCTTTCAAAAATCTTTTAGATATCTTGCCTCCTTAGTTATCTTTACCAACTACTGCTTGTTCTCTTCTAAAATGGGCAGGCATGTGTACAGTTGGTGCATCTATTTGCTTTTAATATACTTGTTTCTATTTTTTATCGTAAGACGACGTTGCTAGCAGCGAGTTCACTGAACTGTATCATTTCTCTTTTTTTTTGTTCAATCAAATTTTAACCATATACTCGATTGTTAGGAAATTCCTATTCTGAACCTCCTGCTATGAATTTTTATAAAATATGGCACGAGCCTGAACAATGAACAATTCTAGATTATCCACCAAGTTTAATATCCAAGTGTTTCAATATTCTGCTGTTTCCATGAGACCTCTCGGAATTTCTGATAACACAAGTTGTGTAATCTCCACTACCTTTTGCCACAGGGTGTGTTAATCGTTATCTTTTACATTTTTGTATTAAACGTTGAATTTTCTATTGTTAGCCAATGATTTTTTTATATGAAAAGAGTTAAAGTTTGTGTGGTTGTGATAAATTGTTGAAGTGGGCCTCCTAAGACGGGCGATTAACAGAAAAAATATTACTCTTGTTTGTGTGCATTATTTAGTATGTTTTAACCTCCTTTGCATTTACAGAGTGTTTGAATATAACTGTTTAACAAGATATTGGCTATTTAGAGTTAGATTATTTTTTTACCAATAAACATGGCTGCTATTACAGGAAGTATTTTATTTCACTTTTCAAAATTCAATTTAGCTGACTTGGCAACATCCATTTCACACCATAACTTTTTGACAACTATATTGGCATTCAGGACCAGGCAACAACACACCTATTTAGCTGAATCTTTTATGTGTTACGTGTCTCGGAATCCTGAACAATTGCCTTAATGGAATAATCCCAAAACTCGACTGGGTCCAAGATATAGGCCGTCGAAGTCAGTATAAGGTGGTGTCAGTTGTACTCAGCTATCTGCTCTATCTAGACGAGTGGTACCGGTTAATATGACTGAATTTGTGCAATCTCATGTATCGCGGCATCTCGATGGGCACAAACCTTGGAACGCAACGGCTCCCAAGGTCGTCAAAGTCAGTATAATGGGGTATCTGTTCTACTCGAATATCTGTTTCAAGTGGAAGAGTGGTTTCGGTTAATTTCACTAATTTTTTTATATGTTGTTTCTAGGCATCGTGAACCTTGATGGGCACAGGCCCAAAACCCAACGGGTCCCAAGATATAGGCCGTCCGAGTAAGTGTAATGACGTATGTTATGTCGGGATATCCTGAACAAATGCCTTAATGGGCAGAGGCCCCCAAACTCAACGAGTCTCAAGGTGTATATTAGGGTATCGGTCCAAGTCAGTATAATAGGGTATCGGTCCTACTTGGTTATCTGCCCTATGTGGTAGGGTGGCTTAGGTTAATTCCGCTGAATTTCTTTTATGTTATGTGCCTAAGCATCCTGAACAAATGCCTAGATGGGCAGTTAGCCCCAAAACTCAAACGGTCCCAAGCCATAGGCAGTCCAAGTCAGTATAATTGGGGTATCGGTTTTACTTGCAAATCTGCTTCAAGTGGAAGAGTGGTTTCGGTTAGTTTCGCTAAACTATTTATATATTAGGTGTCTCTGTATCCTGAGCAAATGTCTTAATGGCGACAGGTTCCAAAACTCAACGTGTCCTAGAATATAGGCCCTCCAAGTCAGTATAATGAGGTATCGGTTCTATTCGATATATGTTTTGAGTGGTTAATTTCGATGAATTTTGTGCGTTGTGTCTCGGCATCCTGAACAAATGCTTTAATGGTAAGAGGCTTCAAAACTCAACGGGTCCCAATGCCACCTAAGTATTTTTGGGGCATCGGTGCTACTCGAATCTCTGTTTCAAGTGGAAGGGCGGGTTCAGTTAATTTCCCTAAACCTTTTATATTTCATGTGTCCCCGCATCCTGAATAGATGCCTTAATGGTCACATGCCACAAAACTGAAATGGTCCCAAGGATACAGGCTGTCCGAGTCAGTGTAAGGAGTGTCGGTTTTACTCATTTATTTGCTCCATCTAGAAGAGAGGTCTGTTTTAACATGACTGAATTCGCGAAATCTCAAATATACTGAGTGACAAAAAAAGGTAAACACCCACGTATGTTCATCCGATTTTAGTAATTTTTGGCATACTATGTTCCTTACTAGTAAAATGATTAAATTTTCAGCTTGATTCGTCAACTGACTGCAGAAGCTGGTTCAATAATGTCTTATACACTCATTGACACGCCTGAGCATCGTGCTGATAAGGTAATCGATATCCCAGGCTACTGCAACTTTGTGAGTAAGAGCTGTTAAAGGCTGTGGAGGGTGTTGCAAATTCAAGAGCCTACGACCTATCATATCCCAGACATGTTCAATTGGAGATAGGTCAGGCGATCGTGGTGGCCAAGGTATACGGTTGATGCGATGTCGATCCAGGAAGGCTAGCGATGCTCTGGCAACATGCGGTCTGGCACTGTCTTGCTGAAAAATCGGGCTTTGGATGGTGTTTAGGTATGGAATAAGATGAGGCTCCACTACTTCCTGAATATAGCGTCGGGCTGTCATATTGTCTCTGATGAAAATTAGTGGTGATCTGCTACCATAAGCAATAGCACCCCATACCATAACCCCCACGGTGTGGTGAACGTGACGCTCTCTGTTAAATTGTGGGTGGTAGCACCAAATGTGGGCGATAAGAAAATGCCCAACTGTCGTATTCGGCGATATACCATACACATACCAACCATCCTTCCAAGCTTTTCAAAGCACTAATTAGCGATGACTGGAGTACTACTGAATCAGTCTCTCAGACCCAGAAGTCTTAACCGGCGGTCCTGTCGCTCTGTGGTCCCACTGGGAAGTCTAGAACCCCTCGCTCGTTCACACTGCAGTATACTGCGTAAAAATATGTTGGTTCTCCTAGAAACTTATCGATACATCGGCTTCACGCAACCCGACCCCTCTCAAAGTCACTTAGCTGGGACACCAGGCGAATTCTACGCACTCTGGTATTTAGAGCAATCACAAAAATGCTTCTCAATAAGCTACACGAAATTTAACATTTAACTGATACCGTAAATGTATTAAAACTGAATGCTTATTTATCGCCAGACAATACACGCAGCCACCACAAAAACTTAACAGAAAAACCTGACCATTTCATTACTTGTTCATGGCAAATAATCGATATCTAAAAAATTCTTGAATCTAATAGGCAGCAGCGGTGACCGCAGTAGTGGCTCTTCGGTCTCCTGATCAGTCGCCGAGCACTGTGCGGGTTCGAATCCCGTCCGAAGAGAAATTTTTCTCTTGGCTATGGATGTTTTGATTGTCCGTAGGTGGTAGACGGTGTCTGACTGTCGAACGCAGAGGTACCACCCGGCGGATCTCGTAGGGGGTGCCAGAATGTGTGCATGTTGCATGCATACGTGTTCCCTCGCCAGAGTCCGTGTAGCGTCCCCCCCTTCCCCTACAGCCCCACGGTACCCCATGGAAGTTTAGGCCTTAGGCCTTCATGGTAGTTGGAGTATAAAAAAATTACGTAGGTGTTTACCTTTTTTGTCACTCAGTATATTTCGTCAACCTGAAGAAATGCATCTCAGGGCACAAGCCGAAAAACTCAACGGGTCCCAAGATATAGGCCCTCTAAGTATAATGGAATATTTCTCCTATTTGAGTATCTGCCTTAAGTGCAAGAATGGTTTCATACCATTATACTGACTTGGACGGCCTATATTTGGGGACGGATTGCGTTTGGGCCTGTGCCCGTTAAGACATTTGTTCCCTATGCCAAGACACTTCGTTTTTAAAAAAACTTTATTTGGTTCCAACAATAGTGTACATGGACCGAACCGGAATTACAGTGTGTGTGTGTTCGCGGTGACTTAGATTGAATGACTGACTCATAATTAAAATAAAATCGCTAATATAAACCAAAAGTGATGAGCTAGTAAAAAGGAATACAATGCAATTATCATATCAATTAATAAAGTGTTAGATGACATCAGCATAACTCCTCCACCCTTAAGATGAAGTTTTAGAGGGCACAAACAAAACTTCGTGCCTCTGGGGTTGAATTTCGATTTCTTCTAAATGCTGGCTTCTTCTTGATCCTTTTCTTCCCTGGTAATATCTTTTTACGAAAAAGCATGCAATTCCAATGAACATAATTGCATACAGGGGTAGACTGCATTTGTCGGGGTGCTTCACTGTTTAGAGAAGATCTACCTGAATTTTGTCGGCTCGTTCTTGCAAGTAATGAAGTTTATCTAAGGAAATATGTACTATCTTGATTTCCTTTGGGTTTTCAGTTTTTGGTGAAATGTGGACCTCTGGAAGCAACTGCGGCTTTTCCATGGTTGCTCCTTTTTGATTTTTGTAAATGTAGTCCTTCGTTTGGATGCTGCACTGGTAGGGCACTTCAAGTAGGTAAATGCCTTTTAACTCTATGACGTCATCTTGTTCACAGATATTATCAGCTTTCGGAAAAATAGCAATGTATTTGGACTCAACTTCTTCAATTAAGGCCATTTTAAGAGTTAAGGGAATTTTACAGTTTGGCTGCTTTTTGTTTACTTGTAAAATAGCAAATAGACAATCGTCTTCTTCTTCTGCTACATGGACCAGTTTGTTTTCGTGGCAGATAAACATATCTTTTATCATTTGACATGGTTCAGCATCATATTGGTACATTTTGGTACTCATTGTGAAATAGGAATTTTTGGGAATAATAGTAGTTTGGTCAATAGTAGGAATGGAATAAAGATGATAATGCTTAAATTTGTCTACGTGCAAAAGTGGAACATGTAAAGCAAAAACTAATCGATTTTGGGAAAAATATGCTTCTACTGAAATTATGTCGTAAAGCTTATAAATATCTTTGATATCTGAATACACCAACTGAGCTTTATTATGATTTTTGACTAATATTTGAAATATTGATTTTAATTCATCTATCGAAATAATACTGTGGTGCAATGACCCAATTTTGGCAAATGCGATGGCATTTTCCAAATTACTAGCTATAGAGAGCAGTGTATCTAAATTGAACTTTATTTGTAAGACTATATGCAAAATAGTAAAGTAGTATGTATTGTTCCTTTGTATCTCTACCAAAGTTTGTTCTATTACAGGCTAAGGCCCGTATCGTCAGTCGTCCCTACAATTGTAGGGCGCCTTTATGGCCTCCTTGATTGTCATAGTTTTCTACTTCTCCGTGTCAGAACTCTATTTTGAGGTTATGTCACAAACATCTATTTGCATCAAATTGTGCTTGCTTTTGAGTTATATCATGTTTTATCAGCCTGAAATTTCCTACAATTTAAAAAGTAAACATATCTTCACAATAGGAGAGCGCTGTCGCTGACACGGGACAAGTGTAATCTAGAAATTTTTGAAGGAGAGAAAGGAGTATGACAATCAAGGAGGCCATAAAGGCGCCCTACAATTGTAGGGACGACTGACGATACGGGCCTTAATGTCTTATTGTTATTTTTGAGAACTTCGTGGGTCAAGGAAATTTGCTGATTAACTGTCTTAATTACTTGATTCTGATTTTTCTGTAATTGTTAAATAGTCTGGTCATATTTTTTAGCATCGTCATTATCTAAGTTCCCTGAAATCATTTTGATAATTGATCCTAAACCATTTATTAAGCCTCATTTGGGCGATATTGCGTTTTCCAGAATGGATGT